AACGGGTGACGTCACGGTCACGGTTTGAGAAGTATATATGCCGGCTGCCCTATCTTGTCGTCGTCTTCTTCGTGGAATCAAAGCGATCAAGGTCCCCGTCAACGTCGTCGCCTGCAACAGCTCGACGACTGCGACGGTGTTGGGTACGTCCGCGGCAAGGTGGGGTGGTTGCTCGTCGGTGCTGGTGGATGGATGGGACTTCACCTCCCTCCCCATGTCAGTGTCGTCGAGCCCGCGCTTGTCTGCCGCCGGCCCCCGACGCGCGCCATGCCTTCAAGATTTGGGTGGGTGCGAGGACTAGTGGCTGAGTGGCGCGTCGGAATGACAGCCCTGCTACGTTTTGTTCGTAGGAGACCTGAGCGCGACGATACTGCCGTCGTCGCATGCTCGTCGTCTGCATCAATTGGTACGTTATGCGCCTCTCGCCTTTGTGCACTCGCTGACAACAACCTTCTCGCCGCCTCTCACCGGAGCCTCAGGACTCGCCTCCTCTCCTCGACGTCGCCTGCGACCACCGACCCCGCTTAGCGCAAATCATTCGGTATGTGTTATTCACGATCCCCAGCACTCTTTACTAATCCGGTAGGAACTGTAGGTCCCCTTGCCCGCTGTGGCGTCTCTCATGCCGTCGCCGCTTGGCCTCCATCTTTGTGTATCATCGATCTATTTACTGGTCGGAAAATATACATGATTCTCTTCATATATTCTTGTCGTTGGGCGTGAGCGTTCAGTGAAATACAGAATCAGAAATCAGCGTTGGTGGGTAGCTGTCATATCGAACGCATCGCGGAATGTCAAGCATCGTTGGAATGGCCGTGCATAGAATCCTCTGGCGCGGTCGAAAACCTCCCGAGAATTCAACTCATTCCAGACTCGGATGTCGACGGAGGAGAAATTCAGGGAAACGTTCTTCGCTATGATTCTTGCCCTGAGTAAAGCTAATGGAATAATCACAGGGAGCTCGAGCCCGTTTGGAACGGTACTGGGGCTTGAAGCGAGGCAGATTGCCGTACTATCATCTCGCCGAATCACATAATTATATCTACCATGGGCGCAATCATTCCATACGGTTAACTAGTGCCAATTTGGCCCTCGCAGTCCGCCACGATATCGCTGTGTTTAATGATACGCGCGATTCGAGTTCTTCCTTGCGCCCACCTTCAAGACGCACCTGGATATTTTAGAATTTCGTAAACGCGCTGGTGTTACGGACCTTACGGGGGAGACGCGTCCTGCCGCCGCCCATTGACAGCTGTAAGTGTGAATTACATCGGGCGGTACAAGACAAAGCAAGTTGATTGACGGATGTGCTGGACACAGCCTGGACTGGACAAATGTACATGCATGTACTCCGCTACGTTGGCCAGCGCGCGGTGCGGCCGCGCTGCTCGATGCGCCAGCAAGTATGAATAAGCACTTGACGAGTTGCCCGGTCAGAGTCGAGACGCGAGCGTGTATGTAGCGAATTGATTGAGACCGGCTAGCGATCAAGCGCGCGCAGGGAGCCGCAAGGCCCACGTCGCGACGGAAACCAGGCCAATCTTTGCTCGAGAGTTTCCGCACCGCGCCTCGTTCAAGACGGCCGATGGGATCTTGGCAAAAAGATGTCGACCATGGTGCTGGCCTGTAGACTGTAGGGGCGTTCCCAGACGGGTGAGCGCGTTCCTGCAGACGCTCGGAGTGACGGACGACAGTGTTCGGCATCGTGTTCTACGGTATAAAGCAGGTTTGTTGAGTGGCGCGGGCGATGGCGGGCGGGAGCGCGCGCTACGCGTGGCCGGCTGTATAGGCTATGGAAAGCCCGGCCGAGTAGAGAAGCTACAAGCACGGCGAGCACAGCGCAAGAGCGCATAAGTCACGCGTAGGTCTGTACTTCAGCCATCTACTCAGCGACCAGAATGGCGGAGATGCGGCGCGCGATCAGCGAAGGAAGCTTGCAGGCGACTTGGGGAGGTTGTTGTGGCCTTGCGCGATAATTGCAGGGCTTCGCCAGGGAGTGTCGTACGACGGGCCTCGAGACGCTCCCGAGCCCGAGTTCGCGTTAGCGGCCGAGATGACCAACAGCGCCGCCGCGAGTCCACTGGAGACCGATAGCAGGTAGAGCGCTGCGAGGTTATGTTGATGGGAGGGGCGCGGCGTCTCATGATGTCGGAGAGTAGGAACCGCGGATTGCGGGCATTCCACGAAGGATGAGCCGTGCAAGGGCGTCCGAATTGCGCGGCCATGGGGGTGAGTTGCTTGTCGAAAGACAGCATTAGGCCGAGCGAGAACTGACCAAAGCGTCTACGCATCGAAGCGGTGAGCTATGAGAACCGTTCGATGCTCAGGCCGAGCTCAGGAGCCACTTTGACGATCCGGTGGTTGGCCCACGAGTGACGTCGAGTAGTAGAAGAATGCCCAGTCGTTGCTCGAGAACTCCCGCGTCGGGAAGCGGCCGTTCTGCTGCACCCATTCGGGAGTCGCACGCTCCGTGTTGACATCGTACGCGCGCGCTGGCGGGGACGCCTTGCGGCGGCGGCGGGGCGGGGGCGAGGGTGGCGGACCAAGCGAGTCAAGCGAGGACGGCTTCACGGCGGAACCATACGAGGACGCGCGCTCCATGCGTTCTGCTATTCGTTTCGAGCGCCGGAGCTTCGAGGGCTGCTTGTTCCGCTCGAACCACTCGAGGACCTTCTGGCGCGGTTCGTTATAATCTAACTCGTTGACCTTGAGTATCTCTTCCACATTCCCGGGCGCGCGTTGCAGGGAGTTCATGAGGGAGCCCACGCTGTAGCCGGACTTCTCCGAGCCTTTGATCGAGTAGTCGCCCTCTTCCTTCTTCGGCGCATCGAGGAACCATTGGGGGACAGTGAACTCTGGGTACCGCCATTGACGTTGTACGAAGCCGACGCAAATCGCCCACTGTGCGGTATGTGGTGTTCCATCGACGAAGCCAAAGTTGAATGCATTCGTTGCGTAGGTGCTGACCGAGAACGGGTGCGCATGGCACTCGATGACGGTGAATTCGTCGCTCCCGGGAAGGACAGCTTCGCCGGTGACTGGGTGTACGCCCCCGTTCAGATCATCCTCCGTCTGAGGCTGCATCTTGAGTTCGGTCTGCAGCTTGCGCGCCGCGTCCGTGAATGGAATGAACACATAGCGGTAGCGGCCAGAAGGTGGACACAACTAAGGGGTATTTCGTTAGCGGAGCGCGCAAAGATTGTTGTAGACAACACACTGCGGTCAGGGGGCGGCGAGGCGACAGGTCCTCTTCGCTGCGACCGAGAATTCCTGCGTGCTTGATGAAGTCCACGATGTCGCAGTAGAGCCTGAACGTAGGTGCAAGGATGAATTCTCGTTTGGCGTACATGCGGGCGATGTCCTCGCGGACTATGATACCGTCAGAGACGATCCCTATTCAAGACGAGTGCACATACAAGGGATGTTGTTGAGTCGCGAGGAAAGATAATAAGACATTCCTCCCCTAGGAAGGCCCCAAAGCCATTCCATACGGCCCAGCTGTCGCAAATTGATGAGCTGTAGTACGTCTGCCGTTCAACGAGACGTGCCTGAGGTTCTTGGGGTTTGGCTAATTCACTGATGAGTTCTATACTGTAGACTTCGTCATCAAAGCCAGATAGAGGGCATATGTGATCCAGTACTTGATCGCTCATGGTCGTGCAAGGCGTCGAGGGGGGAAGACATTCGGTAACATCGATGGAACAGGCGGGGAACAAGGCGCTCGGATCACGGTCACGAGACCGAGTTCATTCAATTTCGAATCATCTTGTCTTGAACCGCTCTACATAGAAAGGTGTCGTTCTTGTTTAGCCCAAATACAGATCTACCGGAGTCGGACCAAGATCTTCCTTCGAGCCGGTGCGAGCAGCGCCGACCATGGTCTCTCGAGGTATACGCAATGCCTCGCCTTGCCGCACGATGCGCTCGACTGCTGGCCTTCGCGCCAACGTACGTACGATTCTCGTGCCCCCGAAAAATGTATCTATCGCATCACTCGTTCATTGGCATTCAAATATTCACGCACGGCCTGTCCGAATTGCAGTACAACATAAGTTCACATTGGGCATAGGTTAACGTATAAATGTAATCGGAGCGAGCGGCAATCCTTAAGGACCGTGGGCGGTAGTGTCGTCCGCGAAGATCGAGAGTGGTGAGGATGATCGTCGAGATGGCGCCCGCGTCGCAGAATAGGCATGCCGGGCTCCTAGTCAGTCTTCCTCTTCTTCGTCTTGCGGTCCTTGTCGGCGCCGGCGGGGACCTCCGTCGTGGCAGCGCGCTTGGCGGGCGTGATGGGTGAGGCAGGCGAGGCATCCGTCATCGTCCTCGAGCGAAGATTGTATCGAGAGGGAGGAGCAGCGGCAGAAGCAGCATCCGACTGCCTCCGCGAGCGAAGGTCGTACCGGAAAGAAAACGCAGCGTCAGGCGCAGTGGGCGTGGCGTCGAACGCCGGCTCTGTGTGAGCATTCCGATGCTTGGTCGAGGCAAGGCGCTTCGGCTTGCGTGTAGGAGCAGATTCGGCCTGCTTCTTGTAAGCCAGTTCGCGAGAGCGATGCGTAGAGCCCTCGAAGATGCGCTCGCCGAATTCCTTTTTGAGCCGAGCGATAGCCTCCGGGGTCTCCGCCTCGAACAGGTGAGAGAGCGAACTGAACAGCTTGTAGTAAAGTTGTTTCTCGTAGTCGGAGAGACCGCCAGGAACCTGCTTAGTGTAACGCACGTGCAGCTTGAGGGTTGCGTTCCAAAGGTGGAAGGCCGGTTTGGTGTGGCTGACGACGATGTGAGGGGCATCGCGGGGGAGCCAGCGCACAGGGGGTGTGTATCCAGTGGGGAATTTGGGGCGCTCTCGACAGCTCTTGGGGATGTCGTCTGGCGTAATAGCTCGTGCCTTCGCTTCGAACTCCTTGTCTGTCTCGCCGGGCTGGGGCAGGTCCACAAAATCCCCATTTGAAGTGTCTTGATCATCTTCGGTGGCCTCGGATGTCGATGGTAGCAGGGTGTCAAGGTGTTCGTAAGTCCGCTGCTGAGGACCCCAGCAAGTGATCTGCATGGGTTGACAACTGCTGAGGTGATGGACGGCGTATCCGAACTTGCGGCCGGGGAACATCTAGCGTAGGCCGGTCAGTAGAGACGCCAAAAGCTGAACCATACGACGTACGTCAAGATAGCTCTGTTTCGTACCCTTCGCATTCACCATGATTTCCAGGCTTTCATCCAGCTCGACGGGAAGTAGAAAGAAGTTGCCATCGCCCAGGTGCTCTTCGTCGGACGAACCATCAAAATATTTGTGCGATAGGCAATTCACTGTGACAGTAAGTTATTGAATTGCACATTGAATAGGCATCACTATGAGTACTCACTGAGATCGCAATTGCCCGTGCAATCCAGAAATAAGACACGCTCTTCGACACCGTTGACGGTGACGATTTTCCCAATAGCTTCTTGCAAGAGTATGAACTACGCGAATGTCAGTATGTGTTGATCATGAAGGCGTGAGACTCTGGCGCACCAGTTTTTTATTGGTTCGCTCCAGAGATCTTGGCACAATGTGGACGAGGTGAAGCACGGTGGGGTCGACGTATCCCCACAAGAGGCAGGACACCGAGCCGATGAGCGCGATGACCTTTTTCTTGCCCGCCTTCCATCGATGAACGGGAGTTCGGCGTGTGGGTGTCGACCTGAGTAGATCTCTCAAGAATTGGGCGCCATCGAATTCGGGGGTGCGCTGTCGAGGGGCGTCGGCGAACCTGACGGTGGCCTGAACCACCGCATTCGAGGGTCCGACGTCCGACATGATGCAAGGGGATGAGCAACGGAGGTATGGGGGAAGACTGAGCAACCATTGTTGGGCTCCTTTTATAAGTCCTCTCGGTCATGTTTTTGTCGAACGTGCAAGTCACTGCGGACACTTCCCCATTGGGTATACTTTGCATTCATCATGTGGAAAGGACAAAGCAGGATGAATGGTTTGGCTCGTGGCCTTGTTTGCGACTGAGACGGTGGTCGAAGTCCGAAGTGCGCATGTCACGCGTGGCGTCCGAATTTTGTGACGATAGCGTGACCGAACAACGCGTCGATCAGACTCGGAGCGCCCTTGTTTCCTTCCCGAACCGCCATGCCACCAGCGTCGGCCTCCTCTGCTACCACGACCTCCTTACACCAGCGACTATACTGTCCTATATCTGGTCCCAACTCAGAATTGATCACTGTGCAATTGATAGAGGAGAAACCTAAGAAGATAGAAGAGCCTCAGGCATGTTCCTTCTCGAATGACACTATCACTGCAGCTCATCTGTGACAGTTAGGATGTATGGAATGGCTCTGGGGTCTCCCTCGTGGGGGGCTGTCGTACTATCTTTCGTCGCAGCAGAACAGGATCTACTGTGCGTGTCATTCGGCTCGACCAAGTCCTATCTATAACGCAACCGCAGTTCGTGAGGACATTGCGGAACTCTACGCTGGTGCTGAGTTCACTCTCGCACCTACGTTCAAGCTCTATTGCGATATCATGGACTTCATCAAGCATGCTGGCGTCGTCGATCGTGATGAAGAGGACGACTGCCCTCGCCGCCCTCTGACTGCGGTGCGTTGCCTGTGGAATTCCGCTTGCACTTCTCCGATCAACGAACCAATTATCTAGCTCTGCCCACCTTCTGGTCGGTATCGCTACGTATTTATCCCCTTCACGGAGGCGGCTCGCAAGCTACAGTCCGAGTTTAAGATGCAACCACAAACGGAGGACGACATGAACGGGGGCGTACATCCTATCGAGAATAAAGCCCTATATCCCGGCAGCGACCAATTTCCCATAGTGGAGTCCCATGCCCACCCATTCTCAATCTGCGACTTTGCTAACATAGCATTCGAGCACCGTCATTTCGGAGGACGAATTCCCTCGCAGTGGGCAATATGCGCCCACTTCGTACTATGTCAATGGCAGAATCCCAAGTTCACCGTCCCGCAGTGGTTCCTCGATGCGCCAAAGAAGGACGTGGGGGACTATTCCATCGATGGTTCGGAGAAGTCCGGCTACAGTCTCTGCTCGTTGCTCAATTCCCTCCAACGCGCGCCCGGGGACCTGGATGAGATACTCAAAGTCAGCGAGGTGCATTATCCCGACCTCCGCGAGAAGGTTCTCGAGTGGTTCGAGCGGAACAAGCAGCCCTCGAAGCTGCGGCGCTCGAGACGAATAGCAGAGCGCATGGCGCGGGCGTCCTCGTATGGATCCACCGTGAAGTCGTCCTCGCATGATTTGTTCGGTTTGCCCCCCTCGCCCCCACGCCGCCGTCACCGCAAGACATCCCCGCCAGCGCGCGCATACGATGTCAACAAGGAGCGCGCGATCCCCGAATGGGTGCAGCAGAACGGCCGCTTCCCGACGCGGGAGTTCTCGAGCAACGATTGGGCGTTCTTCTACTATTCGACGTCGCTCGTGGGCCGATTACCGGATCGTCAAAGTGGCTCCTGAGGCCGGCCTGGGCATCGAACGGTTCTCATAGCCGACCCATAGACGCTTTGGTCCGCTCTAGCCGAGCCTAATGCTACCTCTCGACAAGCCACTCCCATGGTCGCGCAATTCGGATGGCCTTGCACGGCTCATTCTTCGTGGAAAGCACGCCCTCCGCGGTCACTGCCCTCCAGCCATCACTGTGTTTCGTTCAATAAGGCGTTCGTTGCCGCGCTCGTGCTCTTCACCGCCCCAGTTGATGCCCTGCGCCCCTATCCACGGCCGCACCCACTCCAACTGGCGCCGCCGCGCACCTCCCACCAACTTGGCCTCGCCGCGTTTCACCTGCTATCGGTTTTTAGTAGGCTTGAAGCGGCGCTGCTCGATGCCTCCGGTGCTTGCGCGAACTCGGGCTCAGGAGGGTCTTGGGGCGCGCCGTACGCCGCCGCACAAGGCTTCACGGTGCCGAGTTCCCGTCAACTACGCGAAACCATACGACGGCCTCGACGAGTCACCGACAAACCTCCTTCGCCGGTTGGTCGCGATCAACTGCTGCCTCAGCCATCGACGAGGACTACACATTGTCGGCGCGCTCCCTCGGCCGTGCTTCCCACAACGCCTACAGCCCGCCTCGTGTAATAGCGCGCGCTCCTGCCTGTCATCGAGCGCTCTACCCAAAGAGTCTGCTCCATACCGTATAATACAATGCACATCTCTGAGCCCCGCCGCTCAGAATGCTCCGCCTCCCCGATACACCTGCGCAATCTTAGAAGTGCACCCATCGGGATCTGCCCGATGCGCGAACAAAGTAAGACGGTCAAATCGTAACTCAGGGAACAAGCGAGTTGCGCAGATCTGGAGGACAAAGCAAGACGATGATGTGAAGACGAGGCAAGCGAGCAAGATCGCCTTGCTTTGTCTGAAGTTGCGGTGCGATCTCATCATAACCCAGAAAGGGTTGCCCTTTGCGAGCCGGAAGAGGATGAATAGACGAGTGATATTGCCGGGAACGAGGATACAAGAGCTATGATACAACGAAGCGGGGAAGGCATAATACAATGGATTCGCGGGGCAGGCATAAATGTCGTGAAAAGTCGTGAAGGGGAGGTGTAGTACAACGGGAAGTTGGGAACAAGATCATCAAGGGGGAACTTGGGTGCGTGTCCTGATCTACCACGAGCTTCCGTCCGAGAGGCAGCTGTTGTAGACGATGTCTTGCTTGTACGGCAGGATAGCAAATTGCAGGAATTGCTCGTTGAACTCTGGACTGCTCGGGTCGCCGGTGGGGTAAGGGTAGGCCTAAGTGCGCGTCAGCGTCGTGTTCTACGGAAACCGAAGGACCTCACACACCTGAGTGCAGAAGTAGGGGTCGTTTGGGCTGAAGGTGGGCTCGGTCTGGTAGAAGGCTGGCTCCTCCGGGATAGGCGCGGGCTCATCTACAGTGAGCGCAGCCGGCAGCGTGAAGTCATCCTCGGTGAAGGTGACGATTGGGGAGGGCGCGCTAGACTCCCAGGAGCTCGAAGTGACGGAGGTGGTGCTCCAGGAGGAGGGGGAAGGGGAGGGGACGCTGAAGAGTTCCACCTCGCTCCAGTCGATGGTCGACGCGTCCGAGTTGGTGATCGGCGAGGCTGGCGCCGCCGCACCGCTCGCTGCACGGCGGCCGGACTTGGTACGAGGCGTCTTTGAGCTGGATGCAGCGGAGAAGGAGGGGGAGGACTTCTTGGCGCGGGAGCGAGGGGACTTGGAGGAGGGCGCCTTGGGCGTATTCCACTCATAATCGGGGTTCTCCCTCTTGAACCGCTCCGCGATCTCCTGCGCCTTGCGCTGGTACGGGAGCTTCTCCGCGTCGCTCAGGAGGTTCCACGTCGCCCCCGCCGCCTGGCTGAGACTGCGCTGGTGCTTGTCTCCCTCATGCTTCGCGATGTAGTCGGAGCGGAATAGGATGAACGCGTTAGGTGGGCGCGCGACCTTGGGCTTGCCATTGTTGTCGAGCGGGGCTGGGGAAGCAGAGTCAACAAAGCAAGATACGGGACAAAGCAAGGCGTGAACGCACCTCCATACGGCCTGCATCGCCGCAACAGGGCGCGCGCGGCGCTAGCGGTGGACTGCTGGACGGGCATTGCGAGGAGTTGGGGAGGTTATGGGGGCCGTAGAGAGTCGCTGAAGGCGCTGGAGATGCTGCGATTTGCTGGAGATGACATCCTGAAGAGCCAGGTTTTATACCGGGGGAGCACGATCGCCATAGTAGAGGCGCGAGAAAAGCCAATCTCTCTATACTCACACTAGAAGTGCCTCATGCAAGTTCGTCACAAACGTGGCCGGCAGCGCTCGGCACACTCTTCCCTGGGCCTGCTTGCCTCGATATGGCGGGGGCGAGGCAGATCGCTATCGACGGAGGGTAGCTTCTGACCGTGCAAGCCCAAGGCCTCGAGTGGAACATGCAAGGAGGGCGCAATGAGGGCGTCAGGCGTGGGATACATCGATTCATAGATGAACCTCCGTCATGGCTGCACAGCTCACACAACTGTGTACCTATCTATTATTCAACAGCCCAGTTGCGCTTGCAGGTCATGTAGATCATATCCTAGGGTACCAAAGCTAGTTGAGGCCCGTAAAAACTACCACCTGTCCCCCTACACTGCATGGCGTTCAAGGCGGAGGGAACAGTTGGTGACGAGTTACCGTGACCTGTAGCTGTCACCGTTCAAGTTCAGCAATGCACGTGACTGGGTGATGCGCAGGTCACTGTCAGACTCTGCGCATTCCAGGCTTTCGCATCTCAAGCGGGACAATCTGATATGCCCATGCATTACAGCCTCTACCGAATAATATGACAACTCGTCCGAGCCAAGTCCATCTCGACATGCAATGGCTGGCCATGAATATCGCTGCAGTAGAGCCATACCAGTACGGGGGATAGGCACTGACTACCAAGTACTCTCCCATGTCACGCCCGGCCTTGGAGAAATACCTCGCGCTCAAACCCCAGGCGAAAGGATGTGGGACTGTTGACGAGTAGGCCAAGGGCTTGCGACCGAAGTTCAACATGGTGTCACGCGCCTATCTTGTCACACCAGAGGGTCGATCAAGATCAAAAAATTCTGTCAAGTCCGCCTTTCGTCTTCCGCACACGCGCGCCCCTTTCCCCGGCCTTCAACCATCTTTTTCCATTTACACGGGCCTGCAGATCATGGCATTTGGTGCGCCCCAACTCTAGAAAACGACGTATCAGCGATACTGAACATCAGCTCTGCAGGCGAAAGAGGCGGTCGTGGCGGCTTCGGACGAGGCGGAGGAGGCGGCAGGGGAGCTCCCCGCGGTGGTGGATTCGGTGGTCGTGGTGGCCCCCCTGGTCGGGGTGGTATGCGTGGTGCGTATTCGTACTTCTTCATCATGCAAAGTCGCTGAACTCAGCTTTAGGCGGACGCGGCGGTGGTCGTGGTGCCCCCGGCGGTCGTGGAGGTCCCCGTGGCGGCGGACGTGGACGCGGTGCTCCTCGCGGTGGTCGTGGTGGTGCCCGCGGCGGCGCAAAGACGGTCATCGAGCCGCACAAGCACGCCGGTGTCTTCATCGCCAAGGGCAAAGAGCAGATGCTCGTCACACGCAACCTCGTTCCCGGCGAGTCTGTCTACGGCGAGAAGCGCATCTCTGTCGAGGGTCAGGAGGAGGGCACCAAGACGGAGTACCGCGTGTGGAACCCGTTCAGGAGCAAGTTGGCCGCTGGCATCCTCGGTGGTTTGGATCACATCTTCATCGGGCCAGGAAACAAGGTCTTGTACCTGGGTGCCGCCAGCGGTACGAGTGTGAGCCATGTCGCGGATGTGGTGGGTCCGGAGGGGACGGTGTACGCGGTCGAGTTCTCGCCTCGTTCGGGACGCGACTTGATCAACATGGCCAAGAAGCGGACGAATGTTATTCGTGAGTTTCCCGGTCCTCTGATCACTGTGCATCCCAGCTAACTCATCTCCAGCCATCGTTGAGGACGCGCGTTTACCGCAGAAGTACCGCATGCTGCTCGGGATGGTCGACACGATCTTCGCCGACGTTGCGCAGCCGGATCAGGCACGTATCGTGCTCGAGAACGCGAAGCAATTTCTGAAGGACGGCGGACACATCGTCGTGTCCGTCAAGGCTAGCTGCATTGACTCGACTGCGCCGCCAGACGTAGTGTTTGCGGCGCAAAGAAAAGAGCTGGAAGAGGGCGCTTGCAAGCCGCTCGAGCAGCTCACCCTGGAGCCGTACGAGCGAGACCACGCTATGATTACTGGTAAGTTGGGCTTCAGATAGACGCTCTTCCATTTCACTGACCGACTTCTCAGCCGTGTACTTGAGGCATAAGAAGAGCACTTGAGGTGTCTTCGTTCTTTGTCTTCGTCTTGTTTCTCGGACTCGGATCTGTTGCTTGTATCTTAAAAGTATCTGCCCTCTGTACTGTTCTGCTTGCTATATATAATGGCCCTCCCACGAAGCCGCGATCCGCGCAGATAGAGTGAGTCTAGCGTACTCGAGAAGGCGCCAGGGCTGTACAGTACGCCAACAATACGTGTCCCCGCAGTCCGATCAACAAGACTTTCTACACTTGTCTTCGACTCCCACTACTACTTCGCGCAAGCCGCGCCGCCATCATACCCCACCCCAGCCGCCCCCTCGGTTGAGCGCCCAACGAACGCGTGCTCGGCAAAAAGCGGACGGATGCGACCGCCAGCTGCGATTGCCGTCGACTTTGAGCGCGAGCCCCGGTCATCGTCCGACTACGAGGAAATACAAGCACAGGAGCTCCCCCTGCACTACATGAACGAGGACAAGGCACGCAGGCGGGTGCCCAAGGGGCCCAGCAGCATCGGCTACCCGAGCACGGACGACATCGCCGCGCGCGACGCGTACGATGACGACGAGGGAAAGGATGTCTACAACAAGGCCCGCCCCATCCCGCGCCTCAGTAGCGGTCGCAACCGCCCTATCCACCAGCCGCCCGCGACCTCCATAGTGCGTGGCTTGACCCACTCATGATCACCATCGCTGACTTCGTTCCCCTCCGCAGCGCGAGTTCGTGCAGCAGAACATCGAGCACCTGCCCCCTGTCGTCTACACTCTCCTCTCCTGCTACACGCGCTACCACAACATCGGGAAGTCGAATGTCGTCGTCTGGGACGAGGCCCACTTCGGCAAATTCGGCTCCCACTACCTCAAGCGCGAGTTCTACTTCGATGTCCACCCGCCGCTTGGGAAGATGCTCGTCGGCCTCGCCGGTCTGCTCTCGGGCTACAACGGCGGCTTCGACTTCAAGAGCGGCGCGGAGTACCCAGATACCGTGCCCTACGTGTCCATGCGCGTCATGCTCGCGACATTCGGCGTGGGCATGGTCCCGCTGGCCTGGTACACCTGCGTCGAGCTCGGGATGAGCATGTGGGCGTGCCATCTCGTTACCCTCATGGTCTTGCTCGACGTCGGCTGGCTCACAATATCACGGTTCATATTGCTCGACTCGATGCTCCTCTTCTTCACGTTCCTTACCGTCTTCTGCCTGACCAAGTTTCACAATCAACAACAATTGTACGTGGACTTTGGACGTGCCCCTCCGAGTTATACTCATTCACTTGCAGCTCCTTCTCGTTCGACTGGTGGATGTGGCTTGCATTCACCGGAGTATCAATCGGCTTGGTGACGAGGTACGCGATCTCCAACTGAATGGATGCGCGTGCAATTGCTGACACTGCCCAGTGTGAAGATGGTTGGGCTATTCGTGACCGCGCTCGTCGGCTTGTACACCATCGAGGACTTGTGGGAGAAGTTTGGCGATTTGCGCATGTCGGTCCGCGAGCAAGCATGGCATTGGGGCGCTCGAATAGCATGCCTCATCGTCATTCCTATCTTGGTCTTCATGGCGTCCTTCAAAATTCACTTCATGGTCCTCAACCACTCCGGTCCTGGTGATGCTCAGATGAGCTCCCTTTTCCAGGCAAATCTCGTTGGGAACGACTTCGCGAAGAACCCTCTCGGTGCGTCTAGGTTACTGAGGCTCAAGCTCATGCTCACGCTCTGTATAGAGGTTGCCTTCGGTTCGAAGATCACTCTCAAAAACTACGGTTACGGAGGCGGACTGCTTCACTCGCATGTCCAGACCTTCCCTACGGGATCCAAGCAGCAGCAAGTCACATGCTACCACTACAAGGACAACAACAACGAGTGGAACGTCATGCCTACCTGGGAAGAGCCCGATTACAACCCGAACGACCCCGAGATCCGCTTCCTTCAGGACGGGGACGTGATTCGCCTCCAGCACGTCTCTACCGGCCGCAACTTGCACTCGCACACCATCCCCGCCCCAGTCACCAAACTTAACTACGAAGTCGCCGGCTACGGCAACCAGACCGTCGGCGACCACAACGACTACTGGGTCGTCGAGATCGTCGACGATGTCAAGGCCGGCAGCAAGGATCAGGTTCCGCGCGTGCACTCGCTCACGACGCGTCTGCGCTTCCGGCACAAGGTGCTCAACTGCTACCTGCGCGCCGCGAACGCCGTGCTCCCGCAGTGGGGCTTCAAGCAGATTGAGGTCTCGTGCGACAAGGAGAACAACCCGAAGGACACGCACACGTACTGGAACGTCGAGGGCCATTGGAACGACCGGCTCCCGGCTGGCGATATGAAGCTCTACCGCTCGCCGTTCCTGCGCGACTTCTGGCACCTGAATGTGGCGATGATGACGAGCAACAACGCGCTGGTGCCAGATCCGGACAAGGAGGACATCCTCGCGAGCAAGCCCTTCGACTGGCCGTTCTTGCATCTTGGCCTTCGCATGTGCGGCTGGGGCGATAACCAGACGAAGTACTACCTGCTGGGAACACCGGTGATCTGGTGGGGAAGCACGCTGAGTCTGATGGGCGCCGTGCTCGCGTTGGGAGTCTACGTCCTGCGTAAGCAACGACGCTATGTGGACATGGACGCGAGGGAGTGGGACCACTTTTTGTACGTCGGCAAGATTGCGTTCTTCGGCTGGGCACTGCACTATGGTGAGTAACGTGTCGTTTATTCCTGAAGTTCCGTGCTGACTCTCGTAGTGCCATTCTTGATAATGGGCCGTGTGACATACTTGCACCACTACGTGAGTCCAGTTCAATTTGTCGAAGGTCCTGGGTGTTCATTGACTTCGCTTAGTTACCAACGTTATACTTCGCGGTGCTGATGCTTGGGCACATGCTCGACCACTTCATCTTCTCATCGCGCCGCTTCTCAGAAAAGACGAAGCTGTATACATTCGGTGGCATTGCGTTCACCATCTTCGCGTGCTTCTGGTGGTTCAAGGGCGTGTCGTTCGGCATCGATGGGCCGATCAACGAGCACTGGGGGTTGGGGTGGCGAAAGGTGAGCCTCCTGAACCTCGGTTAGCACTGGAAACTGACGAAACCCTTCCAGAGCTGGAATATCTACAATCATTGACGGACTACTCCATACTGATGTACAGAGCTGGCCTTGATTATTTAATCTCTTCCCGCAAGGGATGCACATACGCAGATGGGTGATATTTGGTAACACAGTGGTATAGGGTGTTAGTCGTGGCCTTCTGCTATCACTTCGGCGGTTCCTTCCCCGCGCGCCTGTACAGCTCCTTTACGCCTTCTTCCAGCACCAGTCGGCCGTACGCTCGGTGAGCACGCTCGACCCTGTGATGACCTTGTAGCATGATTCGGCGAGAATCAAGAATCACTCACCACTGCGGGATGACCTTGCCATCCCCTCCAAAGAGATGGTAGTCATGCCCCGCCGAGAAACCCACCAGCACCGTCTCTGGGTCCTCAGAGAGCTTCACCACCGTCTCGTGTCGTCCACCCTCCATCAGGCGCCACGGATAGCCCCAGCGCGCGATCTTCTCGAAGAACTCGACGGGCTCCGCCGGCAGCCGCCACTTGTACAGCGCGTATCCATTCTCGTCCGGCGGGTGCACGATGGTTAGCGCGCCGCCCACGACCTCCTCTCCTGTTTCCCAGTGGGGCTCTCGATTCTCCTTCCCCGCGGACTTGCTGATGAGGTCGCCCTCGAGCCGCATCAGTCGACTGCGCAAGCACGCATCCGCCCACGCGCGGGACGCCTCCTTGAGGTCGCGGGGCAACAAGTCGGCAGGGACGCGCGCGTAGAACTCGACGGCTTCGCCATCGGGGCTGTAGATCTCCCTGTTGGGCGCATACCAGTCCGGCCCGCTAGCTGTCGGTGTGCGCAGGGGGGAGGAGGGCGGAGGCGAGTGCTCGGGGTACGCGCGCTCGAGGCGGCGGACCTCCTTGTAGGCGTAGACGCCCACGCCGGCGTTCGCGACGAGGGTGGAGTAGAGGATCGTCCGTGTGGTGCGGGAGAGTCGGAAGGCGGCGCGGGACATGGGTTGGGGGGAACAGAGCTTCAGTATTGTGCATCATCAGAGGTGGCTGCTTTTGAGTGTGTCGGGAGCTGGACTTGGCGAGGAATATCATTTTGGTCACGAGCTAGCGGACGACCTCCGCGGCTGCCGCGTCAGTGGGGCGTCGTGTTTTGAGGCCACGTTCGGCGTTGGGTAAAGTGCTGGAAGCGTCGCAGCACAGGTTTGATGAACAGATACAACTCGCAGGCATAGTGATCCTCGTTAGCATCGGGCTATGTTCGCCTCAGTATCAGAATCACTACCTCGTAGAGCGAGCCACCTATACTTCAATAGTCCTTCAAGCAGTCGTCGCGTGATGGTCTTTTGAAGAGATGAACACAACCATATGACGTGCAGTGCAGAGAAATGCTGTCCAGGCGAATTGCGCGACGTTGCAGTCGCGCCCGTCGGATGTCGTGTCAATCACCGATCTTGACCGGGAGACCTCTACCAGGCATGGACGCCGGCCGTACAAGTAGAAAGTAAACGCCATACATGTACTGAGATTGCGACCGACTTCGCAATTTCACTCAAACGCAATATACAGAGGCTCGCATTATATGCTCACCTCCGGAGCATATGCACTGGCTATAGTAGCAGGGGCACATAAGCAATGCGCAGACCCGCATCGCGTTCGCGTCGGCTGGCATCAAAAGAGTTCGTGTTGACTGCAATGGTTCGTCCAATTTTGGCGTCGAGGACGACGGCACAAGTTGCGGCTTCAAGTATCGCAACGCCATGGTAGTGCGTAAAGATTGATTATCTCCAACCACCGATGCTTTTACACGACGATATATGGCGCGGCGGTGAACCGGCGTCTATGTTGACTTCGCTGCGGGCTCCTGGTTGAGCAGCACCTGCGCGATCGCGTCAGACGAAAATTCAACGTTGCTTCGGTTGGATGCGCACCTGCTCGCCACCCTGGCCATTCTCCCACTTCTGGTACCTCACTGCAGTGAGACCACGCTTCTCCGCGGCGATGCGCTTGTCCTCCTTCAAGGAGGCGCGCAGGGCGCGGGCCGTGATCTCGGTGAACTTGTTGTAGCTGTGTGTGCTCTTGGGTAAGCAGCGAGAGCGGGCCTCAGGTCTCAGCGACGTACGTGAAAACACCACGCCACGTCGCGCTCATTGTCGTCGAAGTATATAGTCAAGTCGGGGAAGAGAAGGACGACGGCGAGCAGGACATCCGAAAACGGCCGGTTAGGCACGTGGCCGCCATCATCCGGGCTCTCCCACGGTTCGAATTCAGAACGCCAACTTGACGCCAACTGAACTTGCCTCTTGCGACGTTGGAGGTGGGACGCACTTAGACCATCTGCATATCCGCAGCGCCGTCCCCATTTTCTGCTCATCCTATACCCCCTCTGCGGACAGGATTCATTTACCACGCACAGCCTTCGAATGACGATCTGAACGTTGTCAGGCTGCCATACGCATGTTCTACTACCGTTCCCCCACGTGCAGCAAATGTTCTACGATCTCTCTTGTCTCAGGAAATTCACTGTAACTGCTGCTGTTGACCTCGGCTTATATGGTCAGTTATGAACACCCTTGTCAGTGTCGCCGCCTCAAGCTAAGCTTCGTGACTGTCCAGGGGTCCAGACAGCGCTCTTTTTCACCGCTGCGAGCGCCCTCGCGTAAGTGACGCAGGATAGAGGAGCACCAAATCACTTTTCTCACCCATGCTTGCAGGCGGCAGTCGCATACGCCGCAGATAGTCCAAGTCCCCATAATCATACTTTTCCTCTCCTCAACTATGGCCGCAATAGCGCTCGTTCTCTTCTTCTGCACTCGTCTGACGACTGAAGATCAATACTCGTACGAGGCTCTGGATCGTCTGCACGTCTTGACCTCGGTCCTGTCAGTGGCGGATCGCATCAATGTGAGCTGCTGCCCTTCGCTGTGTTTCTCGTCTTCTGGGCTCACGCGAAGTAGTATCTCCTGAGCGACCTGGTCATCGTATGGCGTGCATGGGTCCTTTGGCCCGACAGCCGTGTAGCGCGATGCGTGCTTGTGTTCTGCTTCGTTACGAGCATTGGTGCGCCATCTCATTCTTGCGAGCCGCAAAGTTGGAATTGACGATCAATTCAGCTGGCGTCGGCGTCGAAGTCATACCGACTCTCACCAGCGCGACACTGTACGATGCAGATGGCCCACGAACGCCCACCATAGCGATGGCAACCCCGCTCATAGCCACGAACCTCATTAGCACGGGTCTGATAGGCGCTCGAATTTGGTAGACACTCCGATAATCTCGTCGTGAAGCGCGTTGTTGATGCCTTCCCTCTCATAGGTACTATTGGCGTTATATCAGCAAATCCTTGGGTACTGAGAATAAGTCTCGGATCCAAGGCGTGCTCTTGCTCTTGCTGGAGTCCGGACTGATCTACCTTGGTTTCTGGGTACGTTGAACGGTCGTATTGCTTCCTCCACTCAACCAATCCTTCACCTCGAAGCTTGCGATATACGTAGGCCTGATATACGATTGGAGGTACGCCGCCCGTCAATTGCTCGTCCAGATAGATACCGATACAGAATCTAGATCGCCGCGCTCCCTGCAGCTCTACCACTACAGCGTCTTCTACAAAGCCCTGATCGACTCGCTGCATAATATTGCAGTACGCTTGTTATCCTCCGATGAGTCTCTACTTCTGACTCACCTACACTTTAGGGAATATACCCCACCTTCGTCTTCCTCGTCGTCGCGGCCAAGCGCTCGACGGCAGAGACGATGCTCACCTCCGCTCAACTCTCCAAGCCAATGAACTTCGCAAGGAATAGCGAGACGTCTGCGACGGAGTCAATAGAGTTTCTGGAGCACGGCGATGACATGGACGAGCGCGGCGACATTGACGAACGCAGTGGTGGCTTCGACGCGGAACGCGCCAGCCTTATCCAGCAGCACTCTGGGCCTACGACATCGACATGCGCTTCCGGATCGGCGCGGGCAAATAATGCCTTGCCAGGAGAGTCGAATATATCACTGCTGCGTAAATGAAGTGAGTGGTTTCGAATCACTTCCATCCCAGCCCGCCTTCTGGTGCTCAGTGGGCGACATGCACCCGTCACAGTTGAACTTCGTGACCGTGACCATCATTGCCGCCCCCACGTTCATCGGATCGCACCGTTACAGCAAACAACCCTGGCTTGCTACAGTTTCGTCGTGACCCATTTTGCCTCCTTCTGCTGCGAAAGTCACTGGTTACTGGACAGAATACAGCTCTGTATGTAAACGCACGACTGCTGTACACCTCGTATACCTCGATGACGGAGCACTCATGCATAAATCGATGCCATCCCACGCCTGGCGCCCTCCTTGCATCTGCCTTGCATGTAACGCTGTACTTGCATGGTCAGAAGGTACCCTCTGTCGATAGCGATCTGCCACGCTCCCGCCATATCGAGGCAAGCAGTCCCAAGGAAGGGTATGCCGAGCACGGCCGGCCACGTTTGTGACGAACTTGCATGAGGCACTTCCAGTGTGAGTATAGAGAAAGTCGCTTTTCTCGCGCCTCTACTATGGCGATCGTGCTCCCCCGGTATAAAACCTGGCTCTTCAGGATGTCATCTCCAGCAAATCGCAGCATCTCCAGCGCCTTCAGCGACTCCATCCAACCCCCATAACCTCCCCAATCCCTCGCAATGCCTGTTCAGCAGTCCACATCGAGCGCCGCGCGCGCCGCGTTGCGGAGATGCAGGCCGTATGGAGGTGCGTTCACGCCTTGCTTTGTTTCGTATCTTGCTTTGTTGACGCTGCTTCCCCAGCCCCGCTCGACAACAATGGCAAGCCCAAGGTCGCGCGCCCGCCCAACGCGTTCATTCTGTTCCGCTCCGACTACATCGCGAAGCATGAGGGAGAGAAGCACCAGCGCAGTCTCAGCCAGGCGGCGGGGGCGACGTGGAACCTCCTGACCGACGCGGAGAAGCTGCCGTACCAGCGCAAGGCGCAGGAGATCGCAGAGCGGTTCAAGAGGGAGAACCCCGATTATGAGTGGAATACGCCCAAGGCGCCCTCCTCAAAGTCCCCTCGCTCCCGCGCCAAGAAGTCCTCCCCATCCTCCGCTGCGTCCAGCTCAAAGACGCCTCGTACCAAGTCCGGCCGTGCTGCGAGCGGTGCGGCGGCGCCAGCCTCGCCGATCACCAACTCGGACGCGTCGACCATCGACTGGAGCGAGGTGGAACTCTTCAGCGTCCCCTCCCCTTCCCCCTCCTCCTGGAGCACCACCTCCGTCACTTCGAGCTCCTGGGAGTCCGGCGCGCCCACCCCAGTCGTCACCTTCACCGAGGATGACTTCACGCTGCCAGCTGCGTTCACTGTAGATGAGCCCGCGCCTATCCCAGAGGACCCAGCCTTCTACCAGACCGAGCCCCCCTACGTTCCAAACGATCCATACTTTTGCAACGAGGTGTGTACATGCATACGGCTCCTGTAGAACACGACGCTGACGCGCACCCTCAGGTGTACCCCTACCCCACAGCCGACCCCAGCAGCCCGGAGTTCGCTGCTCAGCTCCAGCAGTTCGCTATCCTCCCGCACAGGCAGGAAGTCGCCTACGATACCTTCCTCTGCGACGGAAGCTCGTGGTAAAGCAATCGCTCGCCTCACCTCTATCGGTTGCGGCTGCCCTCCATCGTACTATACTTCACCTTCACGACCTCTGACGACATTTTACGCCCTTACGATCTTCAATGCCTTCCTACTATCGGAGTCTCTTGTATTATGTTCCCTATTTGACTGTATCCATAGTTCTTGTATCCCAGTTACCGTCAATCGTACCCGTCTATTGTTCCTCTTCCGTCTATCGATCCTCGTTCGGCGCACAAAGGGAAACTCTTACCGGGTTACAAGATCGCATCGCAGCTTCGGACGAAACAGAGGGATCTCGCTGGCTTGCTTTGTCTTCAAGATCTACGCGACCCGCTTGTTTTCTGAGATCTGACTGTCTTGCTTTGTTCCCGCATCGGGCAGTCCCCGATAGTGGCATTACTGAGATCGCGCAGGTGCATCGGGGATGCGGGGCAATCTGAGCAGACGCTCAGAGATCTGCGTTGTATTCTGTGACATATGAGAGGCTTTGTGAGTGGCGCGGACGATGACAGTCAGGCGCGCGCGTCGCACGAGGCGACTGTGTACGCGATGGAATGCGGGGCTGAGGCAGCGCAGGTGCATGGTCCTCCAGCCCGCCGAGTAGGAGTAGTTCCCGTCGGCGGATGATATGGCGGTCGATCGCGACTGACCGGCGAAGAATCTTCGTCGGTGAACCGTTGAGGTCGTGGTAGGACTTCGCGTATTTCACGGTGCCCCCACACCGTGCGGCCATGTTTGGCGTCGTCCTGCGCGCTTCAAGACTCCCAACCCCATATCCGCGCAAGCGGCAGAGGCATCCAAGCGCGCCGCATCGAGTCCGCTGGAGACCGACCGCAGGTGCAACGCCGTGAGACCAAGTTGATGAGAGGTGCGCGGCGTACCGTGATGCTGGACGGTCATGACCACGGAGGCGTGCTTTCGACGAGAGACGAGCCGAGCCGTGCATGAACATCCGATTTGCGCGGCCAAAGGGATGGCTTGTCCTGAGACTGCATTAGGCAAAGCGAGAGCTAACCAAAGCGTCTACGCATCGAAGCGACTACGCATCGAAGCGGTGAGCGACGAGGTGACTTCAAGCCTCAGACCGAGCTCAGGAGCCACTTTCACGATCCGGTAATCGGCCCACGAGCGACGTCGAATAGTAGAAGAACGCCCAGTCGTTGCTCGAAAACTCCCCCGTCGGGAAGCGGCCGTTCTGCTGCACCCATGGGGGGATCGCACGCTCCTTGTTGACATCGTATGCGCGCGCTGACGGGGATGCCTTGCGGTGGCGGCGGCGGGGGGGCGAGGGTGCGGGATCGAGCGAATTATGCGAGGAGGACTTGGTGGCGGAACTATGCGAGGACCGCTTCGCGGCGGAACCATACGAGGACGCGCGCGCCATGCGCTCTGCTATTCGTTTCGAGCGCCGCAGCTTCGAGGGCTGCTTGTTCCGCTCAAACCACTCGAGGACCATCTGGCGGAGTTCAGGATAATCCACCTCGCTGACCTTGAGTATCTCGTCCAGGTCCCCGGGCGCGCGTTGCAGTGAGTTGATCAACGATCCCAGACTATAACCAGACTTCTCCGAGGCCGTAACCTCATAGTCGTTCGCTCCCTTCTTTGGCGCGTCGAGGAACCACTGCGGGACGGTGAATTTTGGATATCGCCACTGACGCAGCACGAAGTTGGTGCATATTGCCCACTGCGAGGCGATCCGCCCTCCAAAATCGCGGTGGTCGAACGCCTCCTGGCCGAAGTTGCAGATCGAGAACGGGTGGGTATGGCATTCCACTATCGGGAATTGGTCGCTGCCGGGGAGGAGGGGTATATCATATATAGGGTGCACGCCCCCGTTCATGTCGTCCTCCGTTTGTGGCTGCATCTTGAACGCGGACTGTAGCTTACGAGCCGCCTCCGTGAAGGGGATGAAGACGTAGCGGTACCGGTCAGAAGGGGGGCAGAGCTAGATAATTGGTTCGTTGATCAGACAAGTGCAAGCGAAATGCTACGGGCAACGCACCGCAGTCAGAGGCCGGCGGGGGGACTCGTCCTCCTCACTACGATCGACGACGCCAGCATGCTTGAGAAAGTCCATGATGTCGCAGTAGAGTTTGAACGTAGGTGCAAGGGTGAACTCAGCGCCAGCGTAGAGTTCTGCTATGTCCTCACGAACTATGGTCGCGTTATAGGTGGGATTTCGTCGGGTCGAATGACACGCACAATAGATCATGTTCTGCTCCGACGATAGATAGTAAGACAAACCTCCACGAGGAAGGCCCCAGAGCCATTCCATACATCCTAACTGTCGCCGATGAGCTGCAGTGACCCTATCGTTCGAGACGGGACGTGCCTGAGGTTCTTCTATCTTCCTAGGTTTCTCCTCTATCAACTGCACAGTAATTAATTCTGAATTCGGACCAGATATAGGACAGTGGAGTCGCTGGTGCAGGGAAGTCGTGGTAGCAGAGGAGGCTGGCGCTGGTGGCATGGTGGTTCGGGAAGGAAACAAGGGCGCTCCGAGTCTGATCGACGCGTTGTTCGCGGTCACGCCAAGATCACGCGACCGTTCCGCCGCGCCACGCGCGGATCAAATGTCCATAACATCTACTTTTCACGGGATACACCCAACAACATACAAGCATTCACAACATACACGGACAGAAAACTTCCGCCGAAAGAGTACACGTAGAGCAGTTCTCCAGAAGGAGACGGGAGGGAAGTTATTATCCACCGCTGCCGGGGTGGCAATGAGGTCCAGTTACGAAGTGACCGTCCGACGAGCTATAACCCGCCTCTGCTGGAGCGCCGAAGCGCGCATTGGCTGAGCGCGCACACGAAGGTGAGGTCAACATGTTCTGGGGAGACTTGTCAGCCCACGACATGCGTAGCGAGAGGCGTACCGAACATGTCAAGATAAAATAATTGATTGGGACAGGACGCCATTGTGTATAATCGTCCGCCTTTATTCATGCGGAGGGCGACTCCCTGCGGTCAATAAGCAGCACATTGCGCCTTGTGCGCCGGTCCTTTGACGAGTCCGAATCCGAGTCTTGCAAACTTCGAGAGCGAACGAGAGCATTGGCCTGTCGGCCTCATTGCGTCGCCGCGCGAAAGATATGACATTGGACGCCGCCTGTCCTTGGTCGTCTTGTTGCTCTTAATCGAGCATCGCGCAGAGCCCTGGAACTGTGTCAGTCCAGGTGGAAAACAAACTGCAATCGAGCGAACACACCTGTGCTAGTCTTAGTTGTGCCTCTGAGCCATTGGTGGCAATGCATACGTCGTAGCGTGGGAGTGATTGCGGGACTGTCGAGCCTTGTGGCATCTCCACTTCGGTGGCCAGTCCTCATTGCCACCTAGCGGTCAGGGCTTGACACGTTTGGTTGTTCCAGAGGCGGCGCGAGTAGATCTGGTGATAGCGGTTAGCCGACAGCTTGTGCGATAAAGGTAGCCACGCACCATTGAGCTGCCCGATCTCTGCAGCATTGGGCGAGCTCGAGGGGCATTGATGCTCTTGCGCGGCACCGAGGGGTCGGAGACTATATACCGTGAGGTCTATAGGCGAAGATCAGCAAGGGGGCCAAGAAGACTGGTTGAGTAGCGCACCATTGGCCGCCCGGGTGACGTTGCATTGGGCTCAACAGACTATACATTGACGCACTTGGGATGCATCGTGAGGTTGAGGACCATGTCAGAGGGAGGGAGATCTGGCGCAAAGTTAGCAATCAGGTCAAGCGAAGGAGGCGAGTGGCGCACCATTGAGCTACCCGTACGCTGTGGCATTGGGCCGGCTCGAGGAGACATTGATGCACTTGCTAAGCATCGCGAGTACTTGCCGCATACCTGGGTAGATCTGACGCAGAAGGTGAGTGATGACAGCGCATGTTCCGGTCGGGATGCGCACCATTGAGGAGCTCGAACACGATGGCATTGAGCTACCTCGGGAAATATTGCCCGCCCTTACGCGCCACTGGAAGCTTGAGGGATACCTTATCGTTGATAGATGTCGGTGGCCGAGACTGGCGACGAGTTCTTGCGGCACCATCCGAGTGGCGGACCATTGGGCTGCCCGTCCGTCGTTGCATTGGCATTGGGCTGACCCGACTCGAGTTCATTGACGGCACTTGCGAGCCATCGTGGGTGTCGGTGTCGGTGTCGGCGTCGGTGTCGACAGCGAAGTAGAAAAGGTCGAAGAGAGGAAGGCGGATGACGCGGATGGAGGGTGGAAGATGAGGGCAAGAGACAAGAGAGGGTGCCCATCAAACCGCAAGCACGCGCTGCTTATGTAGGGCGCCCGCTGCGCCATCATTGCCCTAAAGGGGAATCCAACGCGTGGCGGTCACGTTATCAGGCCTGTCTTTGTTCAACTGCGAGTTATTGATCTGCGCGAATCCTGGTGGAAAGCGGGCTAGTGAAGCGTGTTGAGCCGCAGGCAAGGTCAGCTACACACCAGCGGGCATCTTCCCGATAGCGCCACCCAACCGTTCGTTCAAGCATCCAGCAAGAAAGGCTGGGAACTGCGTAGAGCTCTACATAGTAGCTAACTTATGTAAGCCTGTACTGTCCGATCGACAGAGATCGTAGTCTGAGTCTTTTGACAAAGCGCCAAGGCAGGTGCACCATGGTCGAACTTTGTGCCTATGATGAGTCACTGTTCATCTGTCCCCTGGCCTTTGTACCTCAATTATCGAGACCTTCGATTGACGGTCGGGCAGACAGTGCTCTTGTTAGGGCGGACTTGTCTCGCCTCCTTTGACGATCAGCCTTGTCTATACACCACCATACTTTCACGACGGGAACGTAACCCGGAGACGCACCCTCGCCTTCATCGATGATGATCGTATCCGGACCCCACTCCTTGCTTTGTCCCAGGCGGCTTCTGTGGCACCCTCCGTCAATGACAAGCTCGCTCTGCTGGTCCTCGCTCACCAAAACGGGACAAGGACATCAGCCTCGTGCCATGCCGCGTCCTGCCGGCGCCTCGTGTGTGACGAACGGACATGAGGACGGTCGAGTGTGAGTATAGAAAGTTGACTCTTTCGCGCGCGACCACTATGGCAGTCCTGCAGGCGGAATCGCTCGCGTATAAAAACTGGGCTTTCAGGATGTCTCCCACAGCACAGCGCAGCGGTCCCAGCGACTTCAGCGACACCGAACAACCCCCATAACCTCCCCGCCCGCTCTACATGCCCGTGCAGCAGTCCCGCTACAGCGCGCCCGAGACCATGTCCCGCAGCTCCCAGCCCTATGCAGGTGCGTCCCCACCTTGCATTGTCCGCAGATCATGCACTTACCCCATCCTGCGCAGTCCCTTCGAGCAGCCGGGACCCCAGCGCCGAGGCGAAGCGCCCGCCGAACGCGTTCATCGTCTTCCGCTCGTGGTACATCGCGAACCAGCACCCGCCGTCGGACAAGCAGCAGCGCGGGATCAGCAAGAAGGCGGCGACGATATGGCACAACATGTCGGACGCGGAGAAGCTGCCGTTCGAGCGCCAGGCGCAGCAGATACATCTGCAGTTCAAGAAGGAGCACCCGGACTTTGACTGGAACAAGAAGACGCCGTCTCCCAAGTCGTCCCCCGTCCCCTCCACGCGTAGCATGTCCGCCGCTGCGTCTAGCTCAAAGCAGCCCGGCGCGTACGCCGATCACTCGGGGCGCAGCGACGGAACGGCCGACTGGCCGACCTTCAGCGACAACGACCCTTACTTCTCTCCTCCCGTGCGTACACCATATCCCCCTCTCCATACCGCGGCCGCTAATCTCTCGCTACAGGCATACACGCTGCCCGACTTCCGCGCCCAGGGCGTGAACATCGACCAACTCTCCAAATACGCTATTCGTCCAAACAAGTTCGCCGATGCCAACTCCACCTTCCTCAGCGACAGCATCTACTACCCAGAAGACGACTACTGAGCAGCTTGACGCGCTCTACGAACTCTCATGTCATCTCCAACGTCGCCACTGGGTCTTCCACTGTATGCTACCATCTTGCACTGTATCATAGGTCACGAATCTTCATGTTCTTCTACCTTTGGCTCCGCCCCTCCACTTTCGGCACCCGAGAACGTATCCTCGTGGGTGACTAGATCTACGTGCTTCACGCCATCGCGTTGTCTTCCTCTCGATCTCGATGTAAGTACTCACCGTCTGGAGTCACAGTGGACGCCCGCAGTTCTCGACTATACGAGTAGGTGAGTTGGATCATATATGCTGTCTCTCAAGCGTGGTCATCGCCATTCCTGATCGCTTTCTCAGTTACCTTGCTTGCAAGGTCTTACTCAGGTGCCTTTGGGCGGAACCTATTTCACAAATAAGTCCAAACATATGACGGTTATCTCTGTTTCTCTCGTCTCCGAACAAGGTGACGATCTCTATCAGGGAATTTATGGAGTAAAAAGTTGATCAACGAATCAAGTGAAGCAGGCGCTATGAACTGGCAATAGCCGAGTGTCGTCGCCGCGTCCGAAGGAATCGCGGCGACGGTTACGCAGGTGGCGAGCGCGTCGACCTCTGCGCTCTGCTTCCATCGGCTCGAGGCTCCTGCAGCCATATCTCGTTTGCCCACCCTCCTCTTCCTCTCTCTCTCACTCGATGACGCTCTGACCTGCACTTATTCCCTTCAGGCCCTTCTCCTGAGTCCTGAGACAGGACCTGCTGCCTGCTACAGTGCTCAGTCGGCCGGTCCGCGCGCATGTGGGCGGCTGTGGGTGCGCCCCACGTGCCCCACGTGATGCGGCCGGGATCCTGCGAGCGCGACGCAGATCTAAGTGGTTCTCAGACGAGTAGAGTTGTGTTGGGCTCATTTAACGATGCCGCGTCATCTAGTCTCGTCAGTAACGTGCGAGACGGTGACCCAACCCAGAACCATGCTCGTCCCTCGTGTCGCGATAAAGAGGAGGCAGATGAGAGTAAGAGTTGAAGAACAGTTGCAGTTCTCGGCACGCGGCGCTATGTAGGACACTCGCTGCCGTGTACATGTAGTAATAGGTAAATAAGGGTGGTGCGAAGCGTCCGGCCGTGTTTGTACATACAATGGGTGCCTTTTTGGGAAGTAATTACAGATGAAACCCATATACAACTACCCACGTCTTTGCGTCCAATAGCTAAGGGCCCGGAGGAGTCCTCCGTATAGACTCTCCACACACCGACAGTAGCAACGAAAACAGATGAGCATTGAGTTAAAACAAACACTCGGATAGTTCGGTCGAAGCTGAGGTAACAAGACTCGAAGCGAAGAGTAAGTTTGAGCGAGCCCGAATAAGTGGAGAAACAGAAGGCAGAGTATCATGAAGCCTTTTCATAAGACAGGATCAAGCTCTGAACGTCGGCAAATATTCCTTGAGGATGAACTATGGCCACCGCAGCGTGCGTGTCACATGCAAGCAAGGTCGTCGGGAGGCAGGGCCGACGCTTCTCTAGTCACGCGTGATAGCAACTGGCCTCGAAGTTCAACTTCGCTTTTATGGGGCCCGGGAGGTAGGTGGGTCTCTTTCGCCTTTGACGCTGCCAAGCTTTGTTGAACCTTGTCCAGCGTCTTCATGTCCCCGAGCCCAGGTCGCGCCCTGCGATAAGCTTCTAACACGCCTTATTGTCCCTTTTTGTGCATATCGTGCGGTCCAATCTGGCCAGCAAGGGACCGTGATTCCTCGCAGGCCTTCGAGGCGAGATTCAACTCGAATGCATCAGCGGTCGTGACCGTCAACGCAACTTCGGTGCGCCCTACTACACGCGCCAACTCAAGATGGTCAGCATCCACACCCAAGGCTATCAGCGATGATGGAAGCCTATCAGATCACGCACTTATCTCACCCACTCATTCGAGCGGGATGCGTATCCCGCCCTTTATCGAGGGCTCTGAACACTTCATATACAAGGAGACGACGCTTCCCTTCGTGGCGCTCGCTCCCAGCCCCGCGACGCTGCTCGACCCTCCCACGAACCGGTCATGCGTTGGATCCGCCCTTCCGACTTCCGCAGCCGCAAGGCCTTCCTCCACGCCATTCAGTCCGAGCAGGCGGATATTGTGCAGACGGAGAAGCATCAGGTGGGTGGTCATCTTCTTTCACATCTCCTCTCGAGGTTAAGATCAAGTCTGAACAAGCGTACTGACCGACTACCCATAGTGGAGCAACGTTGACCTCGATCCGAGCCCGCAAAAAGACCGGACTTGGAACTCGTTCGTCTACCTGGCGTTCTGGCTGTCTCGTGCGTGCGCTCTGCTTCGGAGCTTGATGACTCGGTGGCTGATTCAGACTTGTTAGATGCTGCTAACGGTAGCGCGTGGACGTCGGGCTCGTCCGCTATCACGCTAGGCTTGTCGCCGCTTAGCGCATGGTTAGCGCTCGCCTTTGCGCACTTGTTCATCACCATTCTGATTGTGCTCAAGTGAGTGAACATCGCTGATCCCATTGTGTATTGTTTGACGCGTTTGCAGTGGACGCGGTCCCTCACGGTACCATATCGGCTTCCCGGTCATGGCGCGGTCCGCCTTCGGCGTGTGGGGCAGCTACATGGTTATCTTCATGCGGTGAGTGAGCAACTCATGCTACAACAGAATCTGAAGCTGATCGTACCATAGGGCGGTTGTTTGCATTGTGTGGAACGGCGTGAACAGCTACTACGGAGGAAGGCTCGTCAGTGTAGCCATCAAGGCGATCTGGCCTCGTTGGGGCGATCTGCCAAACGCTCTGCCCGCCAGCGCAGGAATCACGTCTACGGATATGGCTGCATGTGAGTGTTCACTTCAAAAGCCCGAAGTATTCTGGCTGACGGTATCCAACCTTTTAGTCTGGATCTTCATGCTCGTATTCGGCAGCATGTCATTCATCCACGCGCGCGACCTGCGGTACTTCTACCAAGTCAAGTCCATCCTTGTCTTCATCGTGATGCACGCGCTGCTGATCTGGTGCCTCTATACACTGATTCCCTCGTCATCTTGAGACTAACAAACTCGACAGGTGGATGGTCAAGGCGCGCGGCGTCGACTTCACGGTCTTCCCCGAGGCGAAGATGTCCACGGACACGAAGGCGTGGCTCGTGTTGCAGGCTTTCAATGCGGGGCTTGGAACGGCGTCGTCGGTCACGGTCAACCAAGGAGACATCGCTCGCTACGCGAGGCATCCCAATGACCAGTTGTGGACGACGTTGATCGGTGAGTTGAGATCCACCGCACTCTGCTTTGCACGCTGACCACGCGGCAGGATATCCGATTGCGTCCGCACTGCCCTGCTTGTATGGCATTCTCGTCGCCTCTGCAAGTAAGAAGATCACCGGCACACCGCTTTGGAACTTGTGGGAGTATGTACACCTGCTCATCCCTACGACATCCTATCTAACCTCGCCATAGCACCCTCGACTACATGCTCGACCAATATCCCGAGTCCGAAAACCGTGGCGCGCGCTTCGGAATCTTCCTCCTGGCGTCAATACTTGCGCTCGCCTATGTCGGGACGAACCTAGCGATCAAGTGAGTTGCTTTCGGCCCTGACTGTTCGCTCTTGTTATTGACTTAGGCGTACTCACCGAAGCTCCCTACCATTCGCCTCAGATATGACAGCGCTCTTCCCCAAGTACTTCACGATTAGACGCGGGCAGTTCGTTGGTACCATGCTCGGCGTCTGCATCGTCCCTTGGAGTATGTTTGTGTCCTATCATGTTCAACCATTGCGCTGATCGCTGTATCTATCAGAAATCCTCGTATCCGCGAAGGCCTTCCTGACGTTCCTTTCGGGCTACGGCTACTGGCTCGCACCGATCGCGGCGGTGCTCACTATGGATTACTACGTGCGTTATCGCTCGTCGAGGCGGACTTCTGTTCTGACGGTGTTTCTCAGTTCGTCAAGCGCGGCAACATTGAGCTTGCGGCCCTCTACACTGGGGCGCCGACCGGGAGATACTACTTCAACATGGTATGTCCTAAGAGTCGTTAGTCAGCGAGACGCGCTCATATCTCCGTGATAGGGCTGGAATTGGCGTGCCATCTCGGTGGTGATTCTCTCACTGCTACCCTGCATGCCCGGCTTCGCGAACAGCGTCGCCAGCGAACCCTTAAGTATCAGCAAGACCTCACAACGACTATTCTACATCGGGTACGCTTTCTTCTCTCTATCAAGCGGGACAGCGTGGCTGACGTTCCCTATAGCTTCGTCCTCACGTACGCCATCGCATGCGTGATGTACTACCTCATCTGCCTCGTCTTCCCCGTGCCGCGGATGGACGACTCGTTCGAGGCGGTCGCCGACGCCAACGATGCGCGCGAAGCGGCTGGTGGGAAGCTGGTGATGATGGGTGGGGAGAAGGCCGATGAAGAATCGGAGACGAACTCTGACGACAAGAAGAGTGTTGCGGATGTCTATGTTTTACCAGCTTGACGAAATGATGAAGACTTTCAGTGGTTCTAGACAATCGCGCGCGACGGTGCTGTTGAACAGGTGACATTGCAGGTCCGTCGTCGAAAACGACGCTTTTCACCGGCCGCATCCCGATAGATATCGGTCCCACCAGCATTCTCCTGGTCTCAAAGACGCCTGGCGTGTTTGGTATTCAGGAGCTGTAAAATCCGGTCTTCACTTTGGCGTCTGCACGAGTTTCCCTATCCGCACCGGTCGGAGGGCTGTGTATCTCAATAATTAGTGCGACAAGGCACATTTACAGCTCACAGCTCTGTGTGAACCTCGTAACCGATAGTAGCTATTCGACGCAGGCGGGCATGTCGCTCGTCGAGGGTGCTCTGGTGCTGCTCATAGACTCAAGAGAGGTATAAAAAGCCAACGACCTTCCCCTAAATCATCCTCTCAACAACCTGCAATCCTTCCTTCCTTCACCTTCGATTCACTTATTTATCATGTTCTCCAGGCTTGTCCTCGCCTTCATCGCTGCGCTGGCTGTCTCGGCCGCTGCTGCTCCGTCCTCTTCGCCGGGCGAGCTCTCCTCTGCTGCGGGCAAGTACCTTATGCTGCCTTTGTAAAGACTACCCCGCTGATCAGAGATACAGCCATGTCCAGCCAGGCGTCCACGGCGAGTGCTTCAGTTGCGCTGCCGTCCTCCAGCAGCATCTCGAATGCCACTAGCGACGCGACCGACGAAGTCTCTTCTGCCGCGCTCAGTGGTCGAGGTAACCTTCCTGGACTTCCGCACCCGTTTCCCAGGCTCAAAAACATTGTTCCCCAGCCACCTACTACACGCCGAACAACAACTACGGCGCCTGCGGCAAAAAAATCAAGAACAGCGAGCACGCCGTGGCGCTCTCGAGCGACAAGTACGCCGGCGGTGCGCACTGCGGCAAGAAGGTTACCGCACATCGTAAGCCACCGTTACCTGCGCTCTCTGTCTAGTTTTCTGATGGGAGTTGCTGTAGACAATGGGAAGAAGGTCGTCGCCACTGTTCGCGACCTCTGCCCGGGCTGCGCGGCGAACAGCCTCGACCTGACGCCCTCGGCTTTCAAGAAGCTGGCCAAGCTGGGCGAGGGGAACATCGCGGTCAACTGGAACTTCAACTAGGATAGGTGGCATCCTCAATATCTTGTCTGAACTTGGCCATCGATGGGTGGCGCGCGCTCCTTTATTTATTCTCGAGCTGTACTTATTTATGCGAGACGCTAGTTGTATTATTTATGAGTTGTGATCAGCCTTGATGATCCAGGATTGCGATACACGATGAGTGCATTGCGACTTGGACGATGGCCGTGCGATGAGTTCGATACGTCGATGTCATGGTCGACATTGTCAAGCGGCGATGGTCTTCGTCCTGGGACATGGAGGGTGGGTGGGAGAAACTGGGCTGCGGGCCAGCTATAAACTATCAGACAAGTGACGCATGGCAACGAAAAGATCACGCTGGATGATGGAGAAACACAAGGGCGCCGGTTCTGGCAGCCCAAGGGCCTATAGTTTGATCAGATCAGTACACGTGCTATCTGCTATTGTGCCGGATTTGGGAATAAGTCCGGGATCAGCAGGTCGGGCCGGGCCGGATGCTGGCCATGGACAGGCAAGGGACCGTCGGCGCGTCCAGGAGGACATCGGGGTAGCGAGTGCGCTGCAGGGTGTACGGTAGACTTCGCGCGCACGGTGGGGTCCAGATGGACACCGCCAGCTCATGCGACGAGCACGTAGTGTTGTGCATGGGGCGCGAGATCGACGGCAGAGCTCCGGGCTTGATGCAGAGGTCAAGTCGCATCTACGATGGTTTCACGGCGAGCGAGTGCCGGAGCGCCATCTGCGACGACCGACGGTGCAGCGGGCGCCGTCGTCGGAGAGCCATTGGCCCTCAGGACGCGGCGGATGCGCGCGGCGAGGTCAGCTCAGGGCTGGAATGCGCATGACTATGCGCGAAGGCGAGCTCAGCGACAAGCCGAATGCTATCCGGCAGTGGCGGCATCCGTAAATCGACCATCGAGCGACGCGCCGAAGAAGAAATACGCCCAGTCGCTGCTCGAGAACTCCTCCGTCGGAAAGCGGCCGTTTCGCTGCACCCACTTCGGAGGCTCCTTGGGGGCCGGCAGCTTCTGCTGAGCGGCGGGGGGATTTTTGCGCCGGCGCGAGGAGGCTGAGGTCCATGCGTAGGGGGAGCGGTCCTGACCACGCTGCTGACGACGGAGCTTGCATGGTTGGCGGGTCTTCGAGAACCAGTCCATGACCTTGGCGCGAGCGTGCGCGAAGCCGGGGCCCTCCAGCGGGACCCTGTTGCGGATCTCCTCCTGCGTAAGCATGAGGGTGTTCGGGTCCGTGGCGTTGAGGTACCCGGACGCTTCGGACCCATCGATGGTCGTATCGTCCGTCTCCCTGGCAGGGGCGTCAATGAACCACTGAGGGACGCGGGCAATTGAACTCGTCCATCGCAATTGGAGGAAATTGATCATTGTCTGCCACTGCTTGATGACTCTTGTAAGGGTACCGTGATAAAGACTGAGGGTCTCCGCTGCGAAGGTGCTGACGGAGAATGGATGGGCGTAACACTCGATGACGGGGAACTGATCGCTCCCGCGAACCAAAGGGGTGTGATAAATTGGATTGGTCCATCCATTCAGGTCGTCCTCGGTTTGCGGCTGCATAGGAAATTCTTCCTGCAGTTGGCGGGCGGCATCGGACAAGGGTATGAATACGTAGCGATATCGCCCTGAGGTTGGAGCGAGCTAGGAAATCTCATCAGTATCACGCATTAGCAGGTGATGCATGCGACGCACTGCAGTTAATGGTCGACGAGGCGACGTATCCTTCGTGTCCCGATCGTCGACGCCAGCATGTTCAATAAACTTGATAGCCTCAACAAAGGTTTTGAAGGTGGGGACGAGGACGAATTCGTGGCTGAAGTAGAGCCGCGCGATATCGGGTCGGACTATGCGAGTAGTGAGTGGGACAAGCGAGATGACTGGGACGCAACGGACAATACAAAGCATTGTGAGGAGATGGAATGTAGTATGTAAGACCACCTCTATCGAGGCCCCATACCCATTCCTTCCTTGCAACCTACAGTACGGTTGAGTTTGCGGGATGTATTCAGAGATAGAAACCGTCTACCATTAGGGGATCGACATCTGCGTCGTCCTCAGGTTCAAGTATCAGGCGACAACATGCCACAGGATCTTGTAATCCAGTGATGGGACAGTGAAATCTGGGGTGATAGCGCGGCATGGCAGACTATGGGCACAAGGGTGATGGAGGGAAGCAGGCGGATTCGCGCTTAGACCGTCGCGTCCTGAGTCCACGTGATCCATTGTTTGCTGCGACACAAGATGCCGCGGACTCGCGACATTCATCATCGGCGTTCAAGACACCCTCGGGATCCATCGCCGACGGCGCTCGACTGGACAATGCACGCCCCACACTCGTGCTAACATGCAAGATGGTCGTTGAAATTCATCGCGGTCATAAACAGTGTGGCTATAATGGAGTGTGATCATACCAGGCACAGAACAAACACTCCATACCGGGCGGCATATAAAGGGCCAAGCACATCGACTGCCCTCAGTTTCTCCCTTCATCTTTGCCACTCATCTCTATGTCGGAGGCGATGGCGGACGCCAAAGCCGACGCCGCCAATGGCACCGGCAAGGTTCCTCCAGAGTCCGCTGCGGCGCCTGCCCAGCAAATCCCCATCTCATCTCTGCCGACAACACCGTCTCTTCGCACACCTGTCAATAGGTGGCAGGCGGGCAAGAGAAAGGTTCTCTCTCTTGTGGGCTCGCCTGTCTGCCTAATCACCGGCATCACCTTCCTGCTTTATACGCTCAACGTCGTGCACATCATCCCGCGCACACTTTGGAGCACACACAAGAACCTCGTATGTGATTCTTATGCCTCCTTTTCCTACCATTCTCTAACTCGCGCGCACATAGTTTATCTTGCTTCAAGAAGCCGTGGGTATAGCTGTGAAGATGGAGGACGGATCCATCATGCGCATCCTCAATCTGGACTCCTCCAGAAATCAGGATATCAGTAGGTCCTTCGCGCTCGCTTCTCACATCCGAACTGAGAGTCTCCCAGTGAACGTCTACTTTCATAAATTATTCGATGGTAAATCCGTCGTCAATGGCCTCGGCAGCGGTGTCCTGTACATTCTCCCCGAGAAGTTGGACGAATGCCTGGAGATCATCAAGAAGGGTAGACAGAAGGGCCTTGACTACCGGCAGGTGCGTCTTTTGCACCATAAGATGATGATATATATTGACCCTCCTCTTAGATGTTCCCAAAACTGGCCTACAGGTTTTTGGCGAACGTCTTCGATGGCGTACGAGGGTCCATTATCGCCAACCGTGTGGGGCCCGCCGAGCGGTCGTATGCACACATTGACGTTGAGAACCCTTCGGACTTGGAACTGCTCGTGAGCGACGATGACAAGAATGCGGACGCCGGCGACGATGCCACAGGCAACGACGGCCCCTCTGCCAACGATCCCTCGCAGGTTTCCGAGGACGACCTTCCTCCAGGGTTTCGCGCAATTCCGGAGGGCGCAGACAACGAGATTACCCACAACTTCCGTGACGGACCGATGTCTCTCGTCGCCCACGACTGCCCCATCTTCTTCTGCTGGGATGCGACGCTCAAGCTCAAGGTTCGTGTCGAAGAGGAGCGAGCGATCGAGGAAGAGAAGGCGCTCGTCGCTCGGGCCGGCAAAGGCGAGGCGTCACAAGCAGTCCGACGCAACTTTGCGCCGCTCTCCGACCGGGAATGGGCCCTCTATCACAAGCTCTGGGACGCTCTTGGCGACTTGTTCGAACCGCAGACTCAGGAGGCGAAGGACCGTCTGGAAGCGGCTGTTCAAAAGGCACTCTTCGAAGGACGAACCAGGAAGTCGCCTCGCCTCGCAGCCCTCAAGACCGAGGCGGCCATCAAGTCCGCGCCCTTGGCGCCTGTTCCGCTTCGTGTGACTCAGTCGGCGGGCCCTGTGGCAGCGTCTCTCCGCGCTTCACCTCTCTCGGGCGCTCTCCCTGCCGAACCCGTCGCCGCGTCTTCCTCGCACAGGTCCGAGAAACGGCCCGCTCCGCCAGTTGACTCGGACGCGAAGGAGCCTAAGCTCAAGAAGAAGCGTGTGTTGGACGCGTCTCGTGGGTAATCCTCGCTGGTCGCACGTCTTCTCGGTCTTTTCTCCTTTCAACCTCTAGTCTCCCTTGAGCTCTTCTCGCGTCTCTTCATTCGCCGCTCTCATCTCCGAGTCTCTGGCGGGCCACTGAACGGATTGTCACGCTCCTTCCATTTCAGAAGCCTTGTACTTGTACTCATTGTACTCCACGCGACTTTGCGATGCGCTGTATGTACAGTATCTTATGCGATCAATTATCTGGTGCAGTTCTTTCCTGGTAATGGGTTATGCGTTGGTCACTCTCAGGGAACCCAAAGGCAAGTGACTCCATCGCGCGCCCATCTGTCTCCGGGATTTAGGCCTTCTGGTCAAAGACTCGGACACGACCATAGGTCAAGCGGTGGCACGCGGTAGAGTGACCTAGAACTGCAGAAGGAGTCCGTGAGCTGGGGGCATCAACCACTGGCATCCTTGCGCCGCAGCAGAAGTTTTGCCACTGTCGGGAATGTCCCTGGGCGGACAGCGGATTCGCTAGTCATCAAGACGCGTCTGCCCATTGTGTCGCCGGATCATGGACACCGTAGTTCATCTTTACCATTCATAGCTCCACCGACGCGTCGACCAATATACTCCGCCACATAAACCGTTCTGCACCGCATCTCGCCTATCGGGCGCAGAGGTTTGTTGTTGCGTTTGCGCGGTTTGACCGTCACGCTGGTTCATGCGTAGGCAAGATCCACGGCGCGGATGAAATGATAAATCTCAATCTCCGACATGAACCTCCAGTAATGAAGACAACGCGAGCCGAGGCACGATGGTTGCCTGCTCGGTCCCTTTCAGTCCTCGTTCCGTTACAACAAACCGTTCGGACCGTCGCGTTCGCCCAACGGACACGGAGGAGCTCGATCGTGTTTCATTATCCAATAGAATAAGAATAATTTAGGTACAGACGACCGCATGTTATGGTCATCATAGGCGACTCGCAAGCATCCGGGTGGCGCCGTTCAATTCCGCCGCGGGCTCTGAGCCTAGCTATAGTAGAGGCCGCCAAGCGTGTAGCGCGGGGTCTACTAGAGCACACCGCTGAAGAGGAGGAGCGCGCGTTCGGGCGCGCGCAGAGTCCGTCGGACTGAAGTGTCTTCACGGTTCAGGCGCAGGGCGAGGAGACCGCGTAGCGGCGATTGTCACGCGCAGCGGGCGTGGCGCGATGAGCGGCGGGCTAGTATATGTGAAGCCTCGACGCCGCATGACACGGAGGGTGATCGTGGGCGCAAGAAAGCGGAGAGAGCCCGCAACGCAGGACCATCCGAGGCGAGACGCGCCAGCCGGGATGCGCGCAAGCGTCGATCATGGGGGGAGTGGTTAGCTCTTCCCAGGCAGCGCGAGACCGATGTTATAGCAGAAGAACGCCCAGTCGTTGCTCGAGAACTTGCGCGTCGGGAAGCGGCCAGTGCGCTTCGTCCACGAGGGAGGATACCGGAACGGGTCCGCGTCTTCGGGTGTTGGCCACGGCGCCTCGCGCACGGGATCTGGCCTGTAGACGGGCTCCGGCTTGCCGTAGGGGTTGTAGCGCCTGCGTATTCGCTCGGAGCGGCGGACCTCTATCGGCTCGGGAAGGATTGGAGGCTGCTCCTCGGGAATGGACTCGGGATCGACGGCTTGAGTCCATTCGGATACGCCTGCTTGCAGTACGTCGTCGCCCTCGGTAGCGACTTTGACACGGTCATTCTGGCCATTGCTCTGCGAGGTTATCGTATATCCGTAGCCTTGCGAGCTCGCCACTGTGATGTCATCATCTTCCATGCTCGGATAGTCGATGAACCATTGAGGGACGTGTGCCGATGTCGTGCTGATATTCCAGAGGTCGAGGACTTCTTCCGCAGCAATCGAGTACTGAGCCGTGACCGTTGTGCCTAGGTTGTGGTATTCAAACGCCTTCTCTGCGTAATAGCAGATGAAGTAAGGGTGAGTATAGCATTCGACGACAGGAAAGGCATCGCAGCCCTCCCAGAATGATTCGCCCATTATTGGATTCACCCAGCCAGTCAGATCGTCAGCGGTCTGGGGCTGCAGGTCGAATTCTTTTTGCAGTTCGCGAGCAGCGTCGGTAAATGGAATGAAGACGTAACGATAGAGGCCGTTGGGGGGTGCCAGCTACGCGTTCTGTGTCAGCCCGGAAGAATGGAGCCGTGTACGTGAGGCACGTACCGCTGTGAAAGGACGGCGAGACGATCTGTCTTTTTCGTCTCGATGGAGAACACGCGCGTGGTCTACGAAGTCCATGATGTCTTTGACGAGTTTGAAGGTCGGAACAAGAATGAATTGATAGGATGCGTAGAGGTCGGCGATGTCCTTGCGCGCTGCACAAGAGTCGATATCTCAGTCCGAGTATGCCACGGCGAGACGCACCATACAGTGAGTTATGGGCTTCAGCGAGAACGTAAGGGAAACCGCCACGCTTGAGTCCCCAGACCCACTCGGTGCAGGCCACCTACGCACGTGAGTTGGCATGCACAATCCTTCGCGAGGAACTACACACCTGCATTTCGTCCACATCGTCTGGTTGTTCAGAGATTGGCTTGACTAGCCACAAATCATCAGTCATGCCTGAGAAGGGGCATCTCTTCCAAGGATACTTGGGCATATCCGTGAGCAGAAGATGGTTGATGGGGAAGGAAGGGCGAGAGACAAGGCGCTTAGACCATTGCGACTGCGCCGATCGCATCAGCGGAGGCAAATGCCGGCGCCTGGCCTCTCGATCGCAATCGCGCTCTTTGTTTTCTACCATATGGAGACTCACATGCGCCACCAAGATGCATCGACCAGGCTCCATAAATGGAGCTACAAAGCAACGATAATGAAATGATAGCCGTGACGGCGGTATGTCCGTAGTCGAAGCTCCGACCAGGTATAAGTACAAGACAGGTGCGCTCGCCACCAGCCAAACCATCCTTTCCCACTTGCGTCTCCCTACCTGTCTTGTCGACCATGCCGCCCGGCGATCCTCCTGACCAGGAGGATGCCGGGAATGATGGGGACGGCCGCAGGCTCGTACGCCGCCGGAACCTTGACCGTCTCAGGCAGAGAACACCTCCGTATGCGTACGGTGCACGGCCGAAGGCTATGAAGGAGAAAGTGGCGGTTCTCGTCGGCAACCTTGAAAAGTTCAAATGGTGTCTATTCGAAGGGCTACAACACCCGGACATAGTCCAGACCACGCATTGTCTTCGTAGGGAGCTAGCATCGATGAACAAGCCAATGGTGAGGGATGTCCTTGTGATCGGAGCTGCCCTGACTGACCCCTTCGTAGTTCGAGCGCCTGCAGAACGCCATTGGCTCTATCATCCTGACTACGAAGAATACGCTGGAGCGTCAGCTTCGCCTGGACTCTCCGGATAATCAGGATCAGAGTATGTGACCCACCGACTTGTTTATTTTCCCAGCCGCGTTTCACTGATGCTCGCGTTGCAGTGACCGCGTCCATGCACCTATTGTTCGACGGAACACGCGGCATAGGGAGCGGCGGCATTTGCTTGTTGCCTCTTCGCTTGAAGTATAGTCTGAAAAGGATCGCCGACAATCCTCATATGAGCGCTCGTCAGGTATGTTTTATCAATGAACAGGCGAAATATGCCACTCACGGGGTTCAAAAATTCAGTGGTTTCCCGAGGACACCAACCTTTTCTACCTCCATCTTTTCCAAGGCGAAGGGCCTATCGCTATCAGTCACCGTGGTCCACCTTTCAGAGCATACGAAGACCTCCCAACTGGCCTGGAATTTCTAGAGGAAGATCTGGACACACTCGCATTGCAGGGCCGCCTTCCCGATTATATCGTACCTTGCGATGACCCGAACGGGATAATCGCCTATTACATCCTCAACCCCACCGATTCCTCCATAAGACTGTTCATTGTGCGATCGCACATGAACGTCGCTAATGTGCTCGCCGATGCAGCCACGAAGCTACTTTACCGGATGGAGGTGCTGCAGCTGACCTTCAAGGGAGCGGACAACTATGTCTTCAAATCCCTCTGGCCGACCATCGGGCACTGGGTGAAGGAAGGTGTCGATCCTCCGAAACCCAGTAGGAAACCCCCCAAACCGACGCCAGACCCCGACCGCGATGCTGTTCGCCGGTCCGAGCGGCTCATGGACGCTCGGACGGAACCCGCACCTCAAACGAAGCCAAAGGCCTCCGTTCCGAAGCGCAAAGTGGATAGTGCGCCTACGATACTCGGTATGGCTGGAGCGACACGCAAGCGGTCCTATGGCAAGATTTCCGGCGCTTCCGAAGCGAAGCCCTCTCAGCGACGCGCATCTGCTACGAGATCCAAGGCGACCACATCTACCACGACACCGAAGTCTTCCACCCGTCGCGCAGCTACGAAATCATCCTCCCGTCGCTCGAGTACGACTGCGACTAGGTCCTCCGCTCGTCTTGCGTCGGCTTCGAAGACCGAGGAGCCAGAGTCGGACAGTTCGGAGCCGCCCAAGAAGAAACGCAACTTTCTGGGCAATGGTAAACGCCTCTGACTTACCGCTATCGATGTCTTCGCCACCCTCTCGCGTTCTCGCCTCTCGCGTTCTCGAACTTGTCTCCTTCGCCTGCCGTCGCGTTTGGTCTGGGTTTCCGAGTCTCGAGTCTGCGATCCTCGACTTTGTCGCGTCTTCGCCGCCACGGGACACTTGCATCTCCCGCTGCGATGTCTGAATGCTCGAGCCACATCCCTATCTATCCTTCAACGCTCTATCACCGCGCCTATCTATGCATGCTCAGCCTTTTTCATTATTCTCTATTATATATGTACGACTATGCCGATGGATTTATTGGATTCGACGGATTCTCTGCCTTGTGTGCCACATTGAATGGGTTCTGCGAGACTCTGAGGCGCCATGAACGAGGGTGGTGGTGGCGAGATGGTGAGTGACACGGCAACATTGTGTCGCGCAAAGGGGGCCTACGTAGAATTACTAGACGTCGAAACTCCGAATGGTCTGCTCGATATGGGTGCGTCAGGTGGCAAGTGCGCTCGATGCGTCCGTAGCTATAGTGGGAGCACTGTCAAGTCGAGCGCGGGTTGCACCTTCCTGGTGCTGCGTGCGAGGAGAGGATGAAGTATACGCGAAACCTCAGGAACGTAATGCGCGGTGGGCGATAGTGGATGCAACATCGCGGGTCGCAGTGTGGAGGCGACGAGGCCGAAGTCACGAGAGACTACTGGTGGCGCCGCGCGTTGATGGGATCGTACGCTCACGAAAGACGCGAAGTACAGTCTAGCTAGACGATCCACACAACCAAACACCAACAACCACGATAGCAATGAACACGCTAGACTGGAGGCGCTACGAGAGCGGGCGAGTCCGAGTATTTATATTACTAGGGGATAGATTGTGTTGTTTATGCCAGTTCCAGACGAGCTGGACTGAAGCGAGAAGTCGAGTGGGGCAATCGGACGTCTCGGCGTTCTTACGAGCGCTTTCGGGTTTGATTGAAGTTCACAAGGCGGTTTAATGCGCTCGGAAGTTCAGGCTTTTTATGATGTGTAAAGTGCGGTTTAACGCGGTTGTGTTTATTTGGTGTGGTGTGTAGGTACTAGGGCTTCTCTGCGCGGGGCGGGAAAAGTCCCCGAATCGTATGTAGGTCTCGGTATATAACTTGAACGCGTCGTCTCGGCCGTCCAGACCGCGCGGCAACACACAATGCCTATCTCTGAGTCAAAATCCAACTATAACGCCTATCCGCGCGTTCTCCTGTCCGAATAATCGCGCAATGACTGCGGTTCCTGGCGGTAGAGCGGTTGACTGGTCGGGTATCCTCCTGCGCCGCGATGCCGGGCGCGATTCCACACTTGTTGATGTTTACCAAGGCAAGGCCGGCCTGGTTTCCACCGGTTCCCTTGTGCGCGACGCGGCTCAGAGGCCTGCGCGGCGGGGAGCGTACAGCCTAGACTGTCGATACGCGGGGAGTGAAGCCCTTGCCGGGGCGGACAGCGCTTGGCGGCGCCGACGCTCGGTTCGGAGTTCAACTCGGCGATGTCCGAGATCACGAGCTCGGACCCGAAGTTCCGGTCTCGGACCCGAAGTCACGTGTAGTCACGTTGATGGTTCGAGTTCCGCTTGCGCGGTGCTCTGCGTGTCTCCGCATGACGGCGAGCAGCAGGAAGGCTTGTCCGAGCCCCAACAATAATCTAGATTCTCTTGACACAGCGGGGCAAGAGGACTGAAGGCTTGAAGCGCGTATAGCGCGGCTACTTGATTAAGTAGGGCCCGCCAAAGGACTCGCAGGATGTCATCGACGACGCGCAGACTCGTGATCAGGCGCCGAAGAGCTCGCTGCTATCCTTGGTCAGTCATTGCAGACGGATAATGCTGCGGACTAGTTGTATTGAAGGTTAGGAAGCGTGGCGCTCCTGGTTTTCTATGTCATAAAATACCCCCGACGCGCCCGTTGTACGGTCGCGACGTCGGTGCAGTATATACGGATCCGCCCATACAATCTAGACCAAGTCGACTATATATCGCTTGTTTATGTATGTTTTTCCGCGTTTTTCAGCCGCAGGGCGTATCATCTCCCCCACACCAATAATCTGGACCGTCCTCGGTCAGTTAAGGTGGATGGGTGACTCGGTGTTGTTACTGGGTCGTCGGGCGACTCGCAGTCGACTGCTGCCGCAGTCTCTTGGTAGGTAGTTGTCGGAGGGCGGCAGGGCGCTAATTAAGCTTTTGGCTCACGCCGCATGTTCCGGACATGCATGGTCGTTTAAAAGCCGGCCGTGCGCATCTCCCACGGTTTTCCAACTTGTCTTGAACCACGACGGTACGTCGCTAGTACGCGCGTCCTGACGCGCCGCCCCTACTGACGACGATCTAGAGATGGCCGCCGGCAACGAAGGCCCACACGCGACGGTGCGCAAGGAGCACCAAGCTTTCGCCCGGAAGCTCTATCAGATCGAGAAGGATGCGCGCGCGCTACTCAAGGGCCAGGAGCCCACAGTGCTGAACTTGGTGCGGGGGATCCAGCGCGATAAGACGCGCGCGACGATCCTCAAGAAGAAGCTGGTAAGCCCCATCGTGCGGATCGCTTTCGGCGCTAGCTAACGCTCGTTTGTAGATCTCTTTGTCCGACGCCATCGCGCAGGCGCGCAAAATGAGAGAGACTGGCCCCTGGGCGCCGACCGCGGCGATCCAAGGGGCAATGTTTTTCCTGTTCGACTGCCTCAAGGCATCGGACCCCAAGTCGAAGTGGTACGCGCTGCAAGAGATCGCGCGCCCTCGGTAGGTCTCCGACATGGTTGGGTGACGCCCACTGACATTTTCACCATCTAGGTATGTGATCAACATCGTGGGGCTCGAGATTCCGACGCATGACGCGTCGTTATGCCGCGCTGACCGCGACCGGGTGCCGCGACAGGCGAACGAGGACTTGGTAAGTCCTCATTGTTTTTATGGGTTCACAGCGGACTAACTTTTCGCAGGACGTGCTGCTCTTGCAGCAACCGCAGCTGCCCGCCGACTATGTCGCGGTTGAGGCAGCACGGTGCGGTCTCGGCGAAGTCGAGCTGAGTGGGTGCGCGCCCGCGACGCCAGCCCAGCGGAGCTATCCGGGGCAGAAGGCGCACCAGCACGACAAGAACAAGGGCGCGACGAAGCGCAAGCGCGCCGCTAAGGTGCGCTCCCATTTTATTTGATTATATTGGTGGTGCTACAGCTAACGCTTCAACAGCGGAAGGTTGCCACCGATTCCGGCGACGACGAGGTCGAGGCCGAAGAGCCGGAGCCCGCGCGCAAGCGCACGCGTTCCCAGACGAAGGCCGCCACCTCCACCTCAAAGGGCAAGGAGAGGGCGAAGGCGGGCCCGAGCTCGGCGCGCGGTCGGCGCAGCAAGAAAGTCGCTACGCCCTCGGACGTCGAAGAGGAGGAGGAGGAGGAGGAGCGCTCTCAGCCCGAGTCCGAGGAGCGCGATGTCGTACCGCCCGTGCGTTTCCGCGTGGACTGGGACCGTCGTCCGCGCGATGCGGACGGCGAGCTCTTGCCTTACGTCGAGACGGAGGACGAGGCCAGCGAACGACGCCATCGCGAGTTTATTGCGAGGGGGCCGGCGCCCATCTACGGGCTGAATGGTGACCTGCTCGGGCTCACCTCGCCGCCTTCCGAGGACGACGCGCGGATGCTCGAGGAGCAGGCCGAGGAGCAGGAGCGCCTCGCCGACGAGGAGGAGCAGATGCTCCGCATCAAGGAGGAGATCCGCGCCCATAACGAGCAGCGCATGCTCGCGGGGTTGGGTGACGACGACGCGCCTGAGTGGCCGACGGCGGGTAGCTCGGGGCTTCAGCCTGGCTGGACCCACCTCCCGGACGCCGAGGACGAAGAGGACGGCAACGCGGGGCATCCGGGCGCCGAGGAGGAGGAAGAGGAGCTTGAGGACGACGACGTCGAGCCCCCTGCTCTTCCCTCTCCCAAGCCCGCAGTGCCTTCGCGCTTCCCGACGCCGGAGTGGATGAGGGAGGGACCCTCGGGCGACCGTCCAGCGGAGTTGCTCTGAGCGCTCGGCCGAGGTAAGTCCCGCTTTAGTCCTTTTTGTTGTTTGTGTATCTTCGCTGACCCGAGTTGTTCCGTCATCTCTCTTCAGGTGAAAGGTGCGGTATCTAGCTCTGGATTGGCGAGGACAATGCGCGCGACACGCGCTTTGATAGGTGGTTTCTTGGGACTCTGTACATTATATTTTTCTTGTATTTTCTTGTGTAAGGTCTCCCATGAAATGTACTTCTTGTTTCTTGGACAATTTAGGGTGATGCCAAGTGAAATAAGAAGCGATAAATTGTGCTGCGCGACCGCCTTAGAGGTCGGACAATTGAACGCTGCTCGACGGCGTGCTCGCGTGGTTTGCACGTGACCGTCGGCCACTGCCGGTTGTGGTTCGACTTAGCGAGTCGTGCTTGCTCGCGATAGCGGCGCAAAAATCTCCGTCGTGGAACGAGCTGGATCGGCAGCCTATCTCCCCCACACCAAAAATGTCGGCGACCTCGCCGGTGTGGAGTTCAGGAGCAGGTAGAAATTTATGAAATTGCGGCAGAGGGCGCGGATATCGCGTCCCTGACCGGCCGAGCGGTCGTGATATAAGATCGGAGCGCGCTGGACGGATGAGTCCAACCCACTACAACGATTCGTTCCTTCATCTCCCTCAATGGCCAACAAATACCAGCGCGATCTCTTCGATCAGTTTCTTGCGCTTCTGCCTTCAGCTTCGGCGGTGCTCAAGACCGCGCTCCGCGAGGTCGCGCACTGCGACCTTCCCGCTGCCAGGAAGATCGTCAAGTATCTCAAGACGCACGTGGAGGAGCTGCGCGCGCTCGACGCCAAGGTCGTCGAGCATTATGAGGGCAACAAGGAGAAGTTGGTTGCCGCGCTTGATGGGGTCATGGTGCGTGTTCGGATCGTCGCTGATCGCCTCCCATCTCACACTGAGCGTTGCAGGTCATCATGGATTTCAAGCAGGTCCATGACAAGCGGCCGATCATGGCCCACTGCCTGACCGTCTGCTACACGGCGACGGACAG